CATTAGGGCAAATGATGCTTCCTATTTTAGCTGTCAGATATATTACTTATTAATATTACTTTTTTAGTTAATATAATATCTCTATTTCAAACGTACGATTTTGAAATGGTAGTAGAAATATATAGTATTACAAAACAATATGTTACACTGTGATAACTCCGGAAGGTCCGAAAAATCTGTATTTTTCTCTCCAAATTAGTTATAATGGTAGAGCGGAGTGGGACGACGGCAGGGGCGGACGGGGCGGGACGGAGACGGGGATGGGGGTGGAAGAGCAAGTGGAGCGTGGTAGGAATGATTGGACGGGCTGGTTGACATGTGGGACGAAATGTTGAGAACCGAACCCGTTTAGCGAAGGAAGTTGGATGAAGCCATATCACCCTAGAGAGAGTTAATTTCCTTTTCTTTCTAATAGACAATTGAGATAAATATATAAATACTCGGTAAACGTCAGTATACTTCACCTGTTATTTAATTGTTTTAGTTTGCTGTGCCGTTTTATTTTTTACAGAATGTCGAAATTGTCGAACTCTATTTACTTAAGGTGTAATAACACAGGGTGCATGTAAACACAGAGCCAAACAGTCATGATGGTAGTTTTTATTTTATTGGTAACTTCGTAAGGTTTCACGCATACATTCATAAAATTGTAAAAAATATAAATATATAGTTTATTTCCAGGTGTTCGTTTGCAATACAAATGCAAATGTAGAAAATATGTTTCTACAAATCATTTTGATAAATATTGTTGATTGCTTACTATGTAACAATTTTAAAAACTCCATTCATTGTCGTTATGAAAATATGTTTCAAAACTATTCAAATGAATGGAATTTACTACTTAACTTATGTAAAAACGCTCTAGTTTTACAATAAGACTATTTCAATGTTTTTCATACTATGAATTTCTTTGAATACTAAAATTTGCACTTCAAAGTGGGACTCTGGTTAAAAAAGTAATAGCGACTTCTAGTTTTAATTTATCGAATACGAACGTGTCTGCAGCTTCATAGGCAAGGAATCTCGTTGACTAATTGTTGATTTACAGTACATTTTCAAAAGTAATCATTTCTCTGTCATTGCTTAAAGTGACATGCAAGTTGAAACTTGATATGAGCAGGCTCGGCAAAACCTTCTGTATATCTATGAAAGCGGCCCGCGCCGTTGGCTCACATACTCTTGGTGGTCTGCATTGGGCATCGAGTTTGCTCAACTATCCACCTACCCTAAAGAAAATAAATTATTCACATGGATGAAATGGTTTGGAAGTGACTTACGATATCATTGTTCTTAGAAAAGATAATTTCTCATTAATTTCGGAGGTAAGAAACGACTTTTATGTAAATCAAAACTGCATGAAATCATATATATATTTTATGGTAGTAAGGTCATAAAGCTTAAAAGAAATAGTAATAAAATAGTGGAAGTCTCAATTATTAGGTTGCCATTAAATAACTGAACTAGTTGATCCCACACGAGGTGAAAATAGCGTTATAAAGGAACCAAGCAACGAACAGTCTACCTCTGAACTAAGTTCCTGAATTGTAGGTCCTATGAGTAAACACTCACAAATTGATAATAATTATTTTATTGATAACAAAGGATAATTTCCTTGATATTAATGGTATAGAATCTAATATAAAAAAATCAATGTTCATCAGTTCGTTAGTAGTTTATGCGCTGCCGTTCATCCGTGTGCTATAAAACTTTTTCATCTCTTTGCTTGCAATCGCGCAAAGAATATATGCATAGTGCCATGAAAATGTGCAAAATGGAGGCATTGTTGATGATTTTAAGTGTTCATGCTGACTGAAGCGCTCCTCAACAAAAGTTCTACGCAATCCGTTGCACCCTCAAGTATTAAGCGCACCTTCGCTGCATATTCTGCCCCTGCGATTGTGAAATATCAACCGGAAGTATTACTTGAACGAATCTCGGGTTAGAAAATGAAACTTTTCAAAAAACAGTTGTATACGGAATGGCATTCCAAACTTCAGGGGAAGGAATATTTTTTCACATAGGGACTTCACAATGTACAAACTAAGGATAGAAGAAACTCTTACTCGCGAGAAAGTCTTTTAACTATTACAACTTTTGTAGAGCGTGACGTAAAGCAATCACGTGACCAGTAGAGTGTGAAGTGCAATGCATTGCAATAGCGAAGCATTGCCGGGTCCACTATTGTCAAATTATAATTAAACTTTATTTTCATTCAGAGATTCTCATCGTTTCTGACCACGAATGAGGAATGGAAAGAGGGTTACATAGAAGAGTCTGTAATGAAAGGGCGCAAAAGAACTAATTTCTTTGAAGATTGAGGTCTCCAGTGGAAGTGTCCTCGTCCTCCTTGTGGCTCTTAGTGGTGTACGTGTAGGCATGAGGTTGCAGCTTTGACCAGCCTTGCAAACCGCTTGCCTCACTCTTTGAGAAAAAGTAAAATAAATGTCTCTTTACGAAACATAACCCAAGTTCCTTACTCCCTGTAGGAAAAAACTGGATTTAAGGACCTCTGATCATCATTTTTTATTCTAGACGATGGGAACGTGTATCGCAGCACATTGCATGTTTAGGGCAGATTTTGTGCGTATTCATTTTTAATATTTATTGAAGTTTTATTTCATTAAAGGAATAATATTATTATTTCATTCATTTATATGTAATAATAAAATAACATATTCATTTCGCACACACCCCTCTTATCTCCCAAAAAATTCGCATTTATGTCATTACGTTACGTTCTGTCTGTGCTAAAAGGTAAAGATCTTACCCAATTCTGAGCGAACCAAGAGGCTAGCGAGACACGCGAACAATTCTCACTTTGTAAATCATTGATTTAAAAGTGAAAACAGTTGCATACTGGATCCCAACAGTTCCAACTCCTTAACTCTTTGTTACTGCATTATACGCCAAGTACTGGGTAAACATGCTAATATTCTTAACTGTTGAAATTAAATTTATAAAATATCGATTTAATTTTACATGGACTTCTAGATCCTACTCGTTATTGATCACCCATGATGCAGAGTGGAGCTGTGCCTCCAAGAATTCACAATTACAGGAGAGGTGAACCTGCAAAAATGTAATAGAACGTCCAGAAATATTGTCTCATTTCGTAGATCACGGCTTAAAAACAGTAGTCGGATTCATAGAGACCCAGTAAAACTCGGTATTAAGGCCCAAAGTTTTTGAGTTATGCTTGGTACTAGCATGTTGTGTGGATTGCCTTTTTTCTGCCAACTTCTTTGAAACACAATCTACAAAATTCTATTTTTTCTTAAATCTGTCTGAAGCACCTGTGGGCGGTAATTCATTATCAAACAGTAGCATAATGAAGATTTTGTGACGATAATATCTAATAAATTGTACGAAGACTTCAATTTTGCTTTGCGTACTATCTCTGAAATCTCATTACTCTCAGCAAAGACGTGTTGATTCTTGCTAAAATTAGTGACAATTTATCAAAGAAATGCATCGAAAATGTTTTAATGGTATAGATAAAATATGTAAGTTGACTGATCCCACAAAGTAGTAGATACAACCTTAGGCTAATGTCGTAAATTAATAAATAAATAGGAAATAAATAGGAAATTAATAAATAAATAGGATATTAATAAATAAATAGGATATTAATAAATAAATAAATAGGAAATTAATAAATAAATAAATAGGAAATTAATAAATAAATAATTTGGTGATCAAGTGTTTAAACATATTTTTGGTCAATATTTTGTTGTTGACCAAATCCCAATCCTATTGTGTGCCCCGCCGCCATTTACTCGTCCGCGCGACGCCTTTTGCGAAAAAACGAGCCCGGCGCCGTTTGCAGCTAGCGATGGAGAGGGCGGGGGCGGAGGCGGGGGCGTGCGAGAGGCCGGTTGCTCGCGTGGCCGCCAGGAGCGCTCCGAGCGCACGGCCATTCAGCGGCGCGAACGCGTGGCGAGAGGAAGAGAGAGAGAGAAGGAGTGGTCGCCCCGATTAATCATCCGCGCTTGAAGGCGTCAGGCGTCCTAGGGCAGCGGCCGCAGGGCTGGTGGCGGGCGCGGGGCCGTGCCCTTCACCCTCCGCAAATGCATGGCCGGCTTACATACGCCGCGGTCGACCGGAATTTTTTTATTCGTTCATGAAAAGGTCTCGGAAAAGGCTATTTTTAAATTCGCGCTGCTCGTTTTAACGTGATTTGAAGGGTTAGGGAAAGAACATGTGTAACATCATTCAACTAGATCTTTGGAGTGCAGTCTGGGTAATCCGACATATTTAATAACAGAATTTGTCGAATTGAATTGCGGCGAATTTGATCAAGAAATATATCAACATGAACAGAGCAATCGCAAATAGAGTTTATAGACTTCAGAAATTATTATAAATTATAACATATTTACTTTCATTACATCCATAAGATACATTTTCACATCTTATGCTTTAAGTAGTTCTCTCTATGTAATTAAGATCCTACAACAAACCATCTGAGATAAGCTCAGAGTCAGCATTGTCGCAGTTTTTGCAGCTTCCCTGGCCGGGAGATCCTAGGGTGAGGAACGGGGTAGTCGCGGATTTTTGACACTAACTAAATAGAAAGGTCGAGTCCTGTCTCTGAGCGAGGAAGGAACAACGCCTTCTGCCGCTATAAAACATTTACTACAATAACAAAGTTAATAGACATGGCAGTTGACGTACATGGAAACACCAATTAACATTAGTCGAACATATACCACACATACTTCCAGATTCCTCCTCTCTGCCAAAATACACTCTCAGACAAAAATAGTTGCACCCAGAAGGAAGCGACCGAATTGTTTCAAACTTGGCGGGTCGGTTTCACATCGTAAGACAACTCTCTGATTCCGTTTACACGCCTGATCCCACACCGTGCCCTCTCAGAGCGCGCGCGCGTCGGCCAATTCTGCTGGCTATAAAAGAGCGTTTTTCGTGTAGAACAGTCACTGTCGCCTGTGAATCTTCTGTGGTAGTATCGTGAGATGTTCATTATGCCGTGGAGGCGGATGTTAAAGCAATATCAGCTGTCGGATGCGTTTCACAGAGGCCGCATAATGGAACTTCATAAAGCAGGTAGCTCACTTGGACGCATTGCGCAGCATTGGTCAAAGAAATGTGACCATTACAACAGTGGCAAGAACGCGCGCGCCATCCACGGGAAGAGTCTGTAAGTCCGCAGTAGATCGCACCAAGGGAGGACAGGAGGATTGTCCGACTGGCTGCGACTGAGCCAATGTCGTCGCTTCAGAGCGCATGAGGCATGGCCTTCAGAGCGCAATACAGTCCCCAGTGAGACATCTCGAGTCCCGCCACGCCATTGCCAGACGTCTCCATGAAATGGGATATCGGTAACGTTCGCCGTGCAATCGACTCCCCTTAAAGGTTCGCCAAGATCAGCAGTTGGCTTCGTGTGCCATCCGGAAGGCGTGGACGGACGCAGACAGACAGCGCATGTTCTTTAGCGATGAATTTTTATTCTGCCTGGATAGTGATGACCAGAGAATCGGTAGAGAAACTGTTTCCCTAACCCTGTGTGTGCGCACCGCGCGTCCGTGTCGTGCGAGCGCGTGCAGGCGCGGTACTCACCTGGCACCCACCTCTCGCACGGCGCCACGCACGATGATGAGCCAACAGCGTGGACCGTACTGTTGGCTATAAACGGTCACAGTACACACACAAACATCGGCCTCCGGTAGCTCAAACGGCTTAGCCAGAGGGCTACTAATATAAAAGGGCTGGAGGACCACCTCGTACGAGGAAAATGGAGGAATCGGACCGAAATTGAATAGCAACGGAGTTAGCTTAAATGTTAATTTAATTTATATAGTTGCTTCTTGGATTAAAAATGTAAACTTAAATTCTAAGAGAGGACATGTAAAACAAAACAATTTTAAAACTTTACTATATACAAAATGCGTGCCGGGCCCGAGCGGTGAATTACTACAAAAAGTATTACAGAAAACTAAATCTAAACCTTAATCAGTAATTTACAATGACAAATTATATTAATTGTCACAAAGTGACTTAATCCAATAAATGATCCTTGATGATGAAGAGAAACAGTTCAATCCGATTAATGTTCATTAATGCCGATTAATGTTCCATTGTATGATATGAACCTGAGAAGCTTGGCTCGGTACCTAAGAGGCAGAACAGGTACCTGCTATTTGAAGGCGCTGAGCTCGTCCCATTTCTCGCTGCGCGGAGATCGCTGAACACGTACAGTGCGCCTCTGAGCGTATGCTGCAAGCCCCCGGACGCGATGACCAGGCAATGCGCGCTGTCGTGGTCCAGTTTATGTGATGTGGACAGCCTCAACCCTGAGTGAATGTCGAGATGGGCGGCCCTGGTGTCGACCATCGGCTATGCGGGCAGTCTGAGGCCCAGAATGATGTGACATGTGTCAGGAGCGGAGCAGACGTGACAAGACGCGTGCTCACTTGCCTCGCCTTCACATGTTTAACTATCTCTCAATGAATCTCTATGAATGTTTCTGCGAATCTCTGCGTGTCTCTGCCCGGGCGCGGTTGTGCGTACAAATATATAGAACCCCGTTCCTCCCTGGAGCGGGGGTGGCTACCACGAGGCGTGGCGGGGGTGTGTGCTCTGGACCGCCGTGGGAAAAGGCTGCCGAAACCTCAGAGACCACCAGCGGAGCCGCGCGGTGCACTACGGCCGAGCCGCTGGCTGGTCGCAATTCGCGGAAGGCGCAAATGGGTGTCATAAACCGCACATGCCGACAAGGACGCGGCGTCGAGGGTGGCAAAGCCGGCGGTGCGGTGTCAAAGAGACGGATTGTCCCGGCGTCCCGGCGGCCGAGCGAAGAAGGGAGGGGGCAGCGCAGGCGGTTGCAAACCACGGTTTATTGTCGCACGCCAAATGGGCGCAGAGCTGGTGTCATGGTGTATGGCGAAATTGGGTATAACTCCAAGTCACTTCTGATGTTATTGAAGGCACCTTAATAGCACGCCGATATGTGGAGGAGATCCTGCAGTCAATTGATCTACCGTTCTTGGACTCATTCTCTGGGACAATATTCCTGCAGGGCAACGCCCGACCGTACTCAGCAGCCATCTCTAGAGCCTGATAGTGCTGATAACCACTTTCACCATTCCATGGCCAATACTCAGGAACATTGGGCATCTTTTTAAGAGACCTAGGTCGGGTTATTGCAGGATGCCATCCAACATCTCCACGAGTCACTGGTGAAACACCTAGACCACTGTCTGAAAAATAGAAGAGGCCCAGGAGGATAATCGCGAATTTCAATGCAATATGCAATATTGTGCACCGTGAGTTGAAAATGTAATCATTTCACATCTCAACTACCCTCTTCCTTCATCTCATATTGCACTCCATTAGCACACGTCCTTCTGGGTGCTACTATTTTTTTGTCAATTTTATACTACACATCATGCGTAATCTTCTCACTCACACCATCTCGGAAAATATAATAGCTTTTGCAGCGGTATTCCGTAACGTTGTAATATTGTGCTATGAAATTCAATTATTTCAGTTCAAATACAAGATTAAATAAATAGAAATATATCTACTCATTGTATTGCAATTTCGACAATATTGAACTACGATAACTTAAAGTATTTCAAATAATAATCTACTGGACTAGCGAAGAAAAAGAATATTCATACTACTTTGTTTGCAATTAAATTAACGATTGATTATATTCCGTATAATTTGTAAGAAATTTGAGAGCCATATCACACCCGTTTTCCGAAGTTTCCCTTCCCGGCAAAAATGCACCTCGTACGCTGACGTCCGTGTATTCTTCTTCAGCTTTCTTACTTTCTCATGGTCTGTGGAGTTTACGAAAGAACATGTTTGCTTTTACTACACATTTCACTACTGTAGTCGGTTTCGACTCGATTAATAATGGAGTATATTTACTGACGTGGTTGAACGGCATTCGAGGAGAAAGCAGATAGGAGGCGCGTACGCTAGCTATGAGAATGGTCGTCGTTTGAGGCGTGCCTCATGACTGTTTATTTTCTTTTTGCGTTGGAAACCGCTGTAAAAATTGCAGCTTAATAACCATCCATGAAATATGCTGGACTGTGAGAAATTTTCGGCATTACGCAGATTGATTGAGAAGTATATTAATATTGTTTCGTGTATTAATTTTTGACAACAAATGTTTAAGATTGAAGTCGTAGGCTTCCGCGGCCAGAGTCATGGGTGATCTGGGCTGTCCGGGTGACGCCGCGTCGGCAACACAGCTTTCGACGCGCCGTCACCCGGACAGCCAAGATCACAACATTTAAGGTTATTTCTTTCTTAAGTTATCAGTTTTATTTGTGCTAGCGAGTAGCTGCAGCGACCCACTGCGGGCTGACTAGTTCCAATTCTTACATTATTCAACCCTGTGTTAAATACAAGTACGCTATCTACACAACGTGTTTTCAGAGCGAGCTATTGATTTTGAAGTACTGAAATTCCGCTCATCTATATTAAAGTCACTGTATTAACGGTGACGTTTCATGCATTTTCAGGTCCGAAGGGTTAAAAGGGGGCGGGTTTGTGTGCTTTCGCCACGCGCATTTTGCCCTTCTGGACGGCCTGCCCATCGCTTGCAGGCGCCCAACAACTCCGCTCCCTTTTTCAGCTCCTGAAAACGCCATACAAAAGCTGGGAAGAAGGAAAGTGTTCGGTGAGTACTTTTCTCCTTCACAGTCTGAGCTTATAAGAAAATATGTGAGCTTCTACCTCTTCCCTTTTCTAATAATATATGTATTTCAAAATTGTTGTCTCTAAAAGTCGAAGAAGTTAGGAGAAATAGTTTATAGGAAAGTAGTGTCTTGTAGAAATAATATTGCGTAACGATACGTATAATTTGCTAATTCAATGATTAATCATGCACATTCAAATTAATCTTCATCTCGGTTTTTTGAGAGACTTGTAAGTTTTGCTCTCTTGGCAAGTTTTCAGAATAATCTTGACTTGATTTAATATTTTTTTGGATATCGAAGCAGTGTGAAATATGTCCAATGTTTGAAGGGCGAAAATCTGTAATTCAAATATGTGCAAAGGTTGTTTGATGTGGTCGCGAGAATAAATCATTTCATCCTTGGCCTTTGGAACTCAAACTTTGGAATCGTAATTTTTGTGTTCAATTAACTTTGTAAACAGGAATATCTTCTGTAATATTTACAAAGACATATTTGTATTCTATAATTAGAGGAGGTAAAAATCAAGAAAATGTGAAATAAATGTCGTTTTGGCACTGATAGTTAGCAGCAGGGACGAGGGCCGGCAATACCAAAAAGCTTAAGAGATTAGAAAACCAACTAGTGCAAGAAAGTCTGTGTCATTCTGTTACACCACTAGTTAGTTATGTTATTAGGTTTATTAAATAGCTTATTTTCGAGTCTGTAATGTCTTCATATGAGAACAATCAAATGAGCCGGCTCGCGAGGTAGAAGTTTCGGGCTGGAAGTTTCGCCAGTACGTGGACCCAAGATGTGGGTTCGAACTACTCGTTAGACATGAATGTTTTCAATTTTTATTTGAGGGTTGGGGGCACTGCCAGTGTGTTATGTAAATGCATCTTTACCAGAGATTATCAACATTTTTCTTTCATCGATTCCTTTTAAAAGAATTGATTACTTGAACCACCCCCTTACGTTTCCTCTATAATACATAGTATCCACAGTAATGGCACACATAATTGCACATACTTGTCATAAAGATAACAATTTATACGCCACTAATTTCATAAATAACTCTATTTTCAATAATCGAAGACGCAACTTTGCAACATGCAATTGTTTCAAATGTTTAATTAAGCAAACTGAATCATACACCATGAACAATGATAAATAAAGGTATAGCACAGTGGTTGCCAACTCGATGGTCTGTAATGTCTCAAAAATCGTCTCCCCTGCTCATAGGTATTTGCTGTTATAATCTAGTGTACTAGTGTTAACAATGAACTTCAAACTAGTTTGTTTGTAATGAAATGAATGATTCATTATTCATTTCCGCATGAATTGAAAGGAATGTGAGAGACATATCACACCCGATTTTCAAAGTTTCCCTTCCCCACGAAAATGCACCTCGATGGCTTTCGCTTACCTGTGTTTTCTTTGCATTTCTTGCTTTCTCATGCTTTGCGGAGTCCTCGAAAGAACATGTTTGCTTTTGCTTACTACGCATTTAACTACTCTTGTCGGTTTCAACAGGATTTATAATATCCATAAATATCATAAAATTATCTCCAAATTTTTCTGCATTTTGTTCTAAGATAGAGCGTCGTACACAAATAAAAATCGCGCAGGACCGATTTTCAATGAATTCACTAACTTTTCATAAATTGCAAACCTTTAATTTTCTTTGGCATCGTTCTATAACTAGAATATTGAAAATAGAGGTCTTCCTTAATGCAATATATTCTTCAAACCTATATCTTTAAATTTGATCCTGAAATATTTGACAAAATATGTGTATTTTTGCAAACTTTTACGTGAAATATAGACAATTTTAGATTATTTTGTATGATTTTGCTCAAAAAGGTCCCCGATTTTTTCTTCAGCTAATTTACAGCGTAAATAATAATGTATTAAATCACATGACACAAACTTAATTTTGATGATTTTGATGTAATAATTTAATTTTTCAGAAATTATATAAATTGTTATATATTCAAGTATTCATAGTGTTATAATATTAGGTTACAAATAATTCGAGGAAGTACGTGCTGTTGATGTGCTCGTGAACTACAGCATGACTATCTTGCAGTTTTATTTCTGTTAAGATTTTATAAATATGTTAAATTATCTTTCTTACTAACGACACAGGAACCAAAACGCGTTTAAGCATTGTTTTACGGCTCGAGTGTACTGATGATTAGGAGGTCGCGTGTTCGATTCTCATCCGTGGCGGACAACCTTTGAATACGAGCCATAGACCGCGCATGACTCTAAATTACCCATCGTGGAATGACCCGGGCCCCAGTGATTTGAAAAATTCTCAGCCATTGTCCGATTTAAATATACTTTGTGACTTGAGACAGACTCTGAACACGATGATCCAATAAGGAGCTTCGTTACGACTTAAATGTTTGGTATTTGAGCCCCCGATTAGATTACTGTGTCAGAGCTGATCAGTCATAAATCAATATATTTAAACCGGACAATGATGTCGGAGATAGGCTAAGGAAAAACTGTCCGTGCTGTTGATATAAAAATATGATGTAATATTTATAGACTGTTGTGGAGTTTGCGGTAAAAAAAGGGGACTTCTTTCGTTACGAAACTGATTTTTTTCTAATATTCTACGATGATTTACGTTGACATACAATTTTACATAATATTGTAATCAATGTGGAAACATTCTGTAAAATCAGCATTTTGAAACCTAATATTACGTTTTTATGAATTAATATCATTAATTCAAATCAAGATTAATTTTAATTAAATCAGGGTCAGTTCTTTAGGAAAAGAATATTCCAGCGTACTTACTACATGCACAAAATTATTACTTATGAATTAAGCTGATAAAGGACTGCTTGATTCCATGTCACACTTAGTACTTTTAAATAATACACCACAAATAACGCGCAGACGAGCATACACTTTCCTGTACGGAGCCCAGTTTTCGGAGAACGCCACAAATACTTCATTTACACAGTTTGCACAAAATGTTGCAGAGAGTTTTAAGCATCCCAAAATTACACTTGCAGTATTCAGCATTATTGTATTGTATTCTCTTTATTGTAATGTTCAGAACGCTGGCTATATGGTCAAGGAAGAATGAAATCGTATTTAAATGCCCTAGTCCAACAAAACAGGAATAAAGGAGCCTATAGCACGTAAAATCGTTATTGTATGCTAAATATCGATTTAACAACTAAATTGAAAGGATTGTGCGCCTAACAACTGTTTTGCTACCTTATGATTACTTTCGCATTCTCAGCGCCACCGATAAAAACATAGTATATTCTTAAATATGTAATTACATTAACTTAATACCTTGTCTATTAAAATCTTTTGATACAAATTATTACTGATTTTTTTTCGAATTCGAAAAACACGAACATAAATTTGTTACTGAAAATTGAATCATGAGCCAAAACTCACAAACACGTCCTGCCAGAAATGTTAATTTACATTTTATGAAAATTCAAAAGTGTTATAGTAAACAAAGTACATATACTCTTTGAGAATACCGAGGTATCCATTAATGATCATAAGTTACTCAGTTAGTGAGATTAACATGTACACGAAACAAGCATTTGTTGTTTTAATAAGTGTTACTATTACTATTTTGTATGATGTTTAATAATGGATTGTTATTGGTAATATTTTACACTAATGTTCGTAACTCCATAAAAACTCCAATTATTAAATTTATTCTCTATACGTTTATTAGAGTACCATTTGTTTTTATTGAAGCAGACTAATTTTATCTATTACTTTCACTCTGTCACCCTCTCATATTTATCTTATAATTGTTATATTCCATTTGCAACATGAACATTTTGCAGAAGCGCAGCGACCAGAGAAACAAAAAGGCTTCGTATGTTATCCAAAGAAATTCCCCACCCTTTTTTATTGCCCTCATGCATTTGATACGCGATTTTATGTTTTATGCTTTCAGTAATGTTATCATACTTTATTGCTTAAGAATATTGTGCGTGCGCAAACACTACGAGTGGCATATTTGGCATGTCTGCAATTTTATGAATGCGTTTATCGCGCCAGATTCGTCACTCTTCATTCGCTAAGCGTTTCGAAGGTAAGTAATAGTTGGAAAAGTTAGAAGTTACAATGAATAATCGCGTTTATTTTTTTTTTGCCCGGAACTGTCTAAAAGTGCAAAGTGTGTTTTCTGAAGGCTTACCGTATTTTTTGAAGGCTTTGTGGCAAATAATTAATTGTGCTGTGCCATTAGTAGATTGAGACATAAGACAAGTTGTCCGAGTTGCCCCTCACCTTTGAACTCTACTGAAATGATGACATAATTGTCTCAGGAATATTAACTTAATGGTTCTCTTTTACATGTAATAAGTTCTTTGATGACATAATAAACGTTAAATTTAAAAATATGCCGAGAAAATATTTCTAGATGTCCGTGCGGAATAGTTAAAACTCTTTTCCCTAGTCCCTTAATTTGTCAGCTACATTCTGTCGTTTTGTCATGCTGTCATGCTAGAGGGGACTGCCGTCTACTGCTGTTGATCACATCTGTCCTTTCCCGCATCCCAAAAGCGACAAATACCCCAACCTCGTTGGCCAACCACTGCCACTTCCGTCCCCAGTAAGTGAATATCCGACTAAGACAACGAGACCTCACCCTCCATACTCCTTCTGGAGCCTCCAACCCCCCCACCCACCTCTGTCGTGCGGGCTCCTCCTCCCACATCGTTTCCACAACATCCGCCGTCCTTTCGCCGTCGCTTCGCCGTCCCTTCGCCAATCCCTCGCCGTCCCCCCGCCGTCCCCTCGCCCGCCCCTCGCCGTCCCCTCGCCGCCCTCGCCGTCCCCTTCGCCGTCCCCTCGCCGTCCCCTCGCCGTCCCCTCGCCGTCCCCTCGCCGTCCCCTCGCCGTCCCCTCGCCGTCCCCCGCTTCATCCTCGTCGAACGTGCTCTCCATGACTCCGCCCGGTCCTCGTTTCCTCTGCCTACCGTTTTCCCTCACTCCCTCTGCCATCGTTACCCCTGTCGCCTGCGCGCCCCTCGACGCCTCCCCCTCCGCCCCGTTGACTTTGGCCTCCGTCGCATTGGAAACGCCCCCTTCTCCCAGCGCTCCAGCCGGCGCATCCCACACTGCCGACCGCAAACAGATCGCCGGTGCTGCGCGCGTCGGGCCCCGCTGCAAATCACTGCGCTCCACCTCAATCTTAATCTTCCGGCTGCCCCTAGCTAAGAGATGGTTCGCCACTTCGAAACAGAAAGCACTCGTACTTCATAACCACAGAGAAGATCCTGCCTTCGAAACAAGTGTGCATGAGATGTCTAATATATTATTTAGATCTTAACAAAAAGGAAAGACAAGTAAAACCATTATGATGAAATATAAAAAAAATTAAAAAATTTAAAGCACTGGAAGGCGTTCAAAAATATATTCAGATTATAAATAAAAATAAAGTTAACAATAGCTAAATTAGCTTTTAAACATTTGTAATTAACATTACTCAATTTATAGGTCAATATTTATGGACAATATTTTAATAAAAACATCAAAATTAATAACCTGTAAGCACGTTTCTTTAGTGTGTTCGGACTCTCTTCACCTAATGATGTAACCAAATTAAAGAAGATATGTGGACTCAAGCTATGACACAGTCTTAATATCGGCGATGACAAATCCATAACTTCGCCTAAAATTGCGAATTATGTCAATATTTAATATTTGCTCATATGTAAAATTTGAATGTGTAAACGTGTCAGGTTAAGCCAATGTCCTTTCAGGTTAGACGGTCCGAAACAATCACATATTATCATTAAGTTCATAAAATATTTTCTAATTGCTTAATAAAATTGTAGGTAGTATTTTTCAATGTTTACAACTTTTTTGTTACGAGTAAAATCGAAGTTGACAAATTAGTATCACACGTTAAAAGGAATATAACTAATAAATGGTAATACTAGACGAACGTGAATATATCAAATTTTCTTTTACGAATAGAGGCTCCACATTATTGAAGATGATATTCATATCCTTAGTATACGGTGGGGAATTTTATGAAAATGGTTGAACTGTTTTAGCGGGGAGGAGGGTTCCATAATTAATAAATAATTAATACACTCAAACTGTTTTATTACATAAGCATAAGTCCATTAGCAAAGCACATTGTCCATACTTATAGACTTACAAAACTTTAATAACCCGTGGGAAAGGTACCTTTGTGCTTTCACCCTTAAGTAGGGTGTTGTGTAATCGATGAAATAAGTGAAACGCTGCCGAGGTTGCTTTGTTTCCGGGACATTGAATTCATAATGTGCAGGTATGTAGGGTAGAAATGTGCAGACTACATGAGTAATTTCTACAGAGATATATTTTCTTATAAATATTAGTGTCTTTGCACAGAAGACATTTCCATAGTGATTTTCAAACATTCCTAAACGTCGCTAAAGCTTAACGTCAATACTGCCGATACTGACAGAATCAGATTATTGGTTCTTGGCACACCCTTTGGTTATGGAAACATCCTCAAACGCCAGTATTCCCGTGACAAATCTGATTGCATTAGGAGTGTAACGTTCCGAAAAAGAAGTTATAATTATTGACGTAATAATTTCAATCGGTCAATTTGTGATATTATTGTTTTAAATTGTACATGCGAATCAATAAATAACATTTATAAAATATTTAATATATCATGCCTGTTTTAGTACCAATATATTCCTTATTAAATTATTGTTGAGGTCGAAACATAATATAACTTTGGAATCACATCTTTGAAAACCACGCTAAATCGTCACGAGTGGCGTGGTCACGAGGTCGAATGATACACATAATCATCACTTGCAAGCACATCTGCCGCACATCTTCTGGATATACCTGGAACGCCTGAAAAAAGTGGCCAGGAATTCGCAACCACAATTTAGGATAGAATCTCACCTGTAAGACCTGCAACTTATGTCCACCTTATTTAAAGCAGACTCGTTTTCATCAGTCTACCACACTTCTAATTAGGCTTCTTGCTACCTGCAGAAACAGTATTCGTCCATGAAAGCCCAGGTACGGTCCCAGCGCGCCATAAATTCGCACGCGGGGACTCACTAGTTGTATAGGATGGATTCATTGCCGCCACTAGCGAACAGATCTGCTGCACATCTAGTTAGAACTGCACCGCGAGGGCCACGTAGCCCACAATGGTCCCAAACAGCCCCACGAACAAGCGCAGGTCGAGCTGGAACAGCCCTCCAGTGCTGAGGTGTTGTGTGCGGCAATCTTTTGAATCTGCCACGTGCGGGCGCGCGCCTTGCAGAACGCGCGCTCTAGGGGCCGTTGGTAACAGCGGGCACCCACGCACCCACCAAGCCAGTCCGCTTGTGGTCGACTATTTCGTGGGAGTGGGAGGGTCGCCCACGCACGGCGGTAATCGGTCCAACTGAGGCCGTGGCCCTCCCCGAGCAAGGAAGGCTGCAGCCTGTTGCGTTCTACATGGCCAGAGGTGACGGCCTGGCGTAACGATTGAAGTTCAATTTTGGATTGTATAAAGAGTCTCACCAAATGTACACAGTTAAATGTAATGAAGTTGTATATAGCCGAACTACAGTATCTCATTTCTTGAACATAACATGAAGTGCACAAGCTGCGCGAACAGCTGCTGCAGGAACAGCTTTGCTTCCCTCTCGGCCGTTGGTCACCCTCGCTTGGCTAGAACAAGGGCTGACCCGGATCGCTTTACGGGCCCCTCCCACGTACCCGCTAGAGTGGCTGAGCCTGACACCCTCGCCTCGGCGCCTGACAGTTGATCAGCGATTCCAAAGTGTTCGACGCACCTGCAACCGATTCCAAGCTGACACCCATTACAATTGTGCAGAGAGTACATGCCGATAGGAGTTACATGTCTTTCACACGCACATCGAACTCACTGATTCACTTGATTCGTTTCACTCGCTTAACTGAGCAATTAACTTTTCCGCTCGCGAGCAGCTCTGCTGCATGTCTTCCGGAGAGAACTGGACCTCCAACACCAAGTAGCTCAGAATGGCCCCGCACAGTACTCTGAAGAATTGGAGGTGCAAGGGAAATAGACCGCCGGCACTGAACTTCGTCTGCGCGCGCAGTTGCTGCAGGATTCGCGTGGCTTTCTGTTCGTCCGTTGGTCACCATCTCTCATACAGCAGTAGAGCCCACTCAAA